TGAAGTACATCATAAAGTGAAGAACTCTGACAACAGCTTAAGTGCTGGTGATAAGTTTCCTATATCAGATTTTATATCCTATGAAGACCCTGACTTGTTTGCTGTGCAAAAGGAACTATATCTTGCTACTTTATGTGCAGTTGATGAACCCCCAAAACCATGGCAATTTTGGATGGTTATGCTCAAGAATGGAAACTTTGATAAAAACACGACTCTTTGTCCTGAAAATGGAAAGAAAGTCAGTAAAATAATAACAGGCAGAAACTTTCCATGTTTTGGTAAAGGATGTATGAATCAACCACTTGTGTACCATAACTACTCGCAGTTAGTTTTTTCTGGGGAACAAATGGTCTCTCTGAGTGGAGGATATTTTGGGACATATGACCTTGATGCTGACCTGAGCAAAGGCGTAGGAAACAACTCCTTCTTTTCAGTCTTTTGGAAGAAGAATCTGAGCACAGGGAGTTGGATTTTCACGCACAAACTGACAACATCTGCAAAGTATCCCTGGCTTATGTTGTATCTACGTTCAGATGCTACCGAGGGATTTAATGGTGGCTATCACTATAACGGCAGTGGTATCATGCGAAAGGTTTGTTCACTTGACATCCTTCTGAATTGGTAGCGGCAAATTTCACCTGAAAACACACATGCTTATTTATTACCCTCTAGAAATACAGAAGCTTTTTGCCTTGTTGTATCACAGATATGTTTCTCTTTGGTCATAGTTTTTGTGTCTGCACAGTTTGAAGCAAAAACCTAATCATGATATATTTCTATCCTTTTCTTATCTCAGTTGCCAAATTCTCCAAACTTTAAAGTAAAGTTGACACTTAACATTACACGGGGAGGAGGGGGAAACAGTCAATTTTACCTCCTTGATATAGGTAGCTGTTGGAAGAATAATGGAGATCCATGTGATGGTGATGTTCTGACAGATGTGACTAGATACAGTGAGATGATAATTAACCCAGCGACATCAAGCTGGTGCCGCCCAGATAACCAAGTTTCTTGCCCACCTTATCATGTTAGTCTGACTGGCGAAAAAATATATAGGAATGAGACATCTCGATTTCCATATTCTGCTTACCATCTGTACTGCAGCCCAGGAAATGCCAAATATCTGGAGAAGCCATATGATATCTGCGACCCATATAGCAATCCACAAGCACAAGAATTGGTGCAAATTCTTCCACATCGTGAATGGTCTGTGCATGGCTATCCTGAGAAGCAAGGAGATGGATGGATTGGGGACCCTAGGACTTGGGAGCTAGATACGGGGGCCCTTTCTAGTCGTCTGTACTTCTACCAGGTATGTTTCTGATCTTACCTGATATAATGCACTGAATTTTTTACACAGAAGTGATCTTATTTATCTCTTTGAATATTTATATGGTTGAGAACAGGAGGAGGAAATGGTGGTCTAGTAAATTTTTCTTGGTTGGCACCTGGCATTTTTCATAGTTGGTTGTGTACTTTTAGTGCTCAGGACCTTAAAATTTGTCCTTGGAGGAAATTCATTGCGATGTTTCAAGGTCAATTGAATTTCATATATTTTTCTTAGTCACTTTAACCTTTTAGGCTTGGTGATTCTTCTGTAAGTTGAAGGGACAGTAGGTCCAGCAATTCTGAACATGGCCTATGCATCTTGACAGCTATATTTGACAGCGTGACAATTCTTGTATCTTTTGAAAGATTCTTCATGTTTGTTATACACTAGTTCCCTGCCTGTACTGAAGATATAGTCCCTAATAGCTAGCAATATTCACGAGAAAAAGTATTAAGCAGCGGTTGCTAATATTGAGCAACTTTTATTTAGACTTAGAAAAGGTACTCCAAGACCATTTCTTTTTGCAGGATCCAGGAACAAAACCAGCACGGCGGGTATGGTCTTCAATTAATGTTGGGACTGAGATCTACGTTAGCCGGGCAGGGGAAACTGCTGAGTGGACTGTGAGTGATTTCGATGTGCTGGTTCCAGAAGATATTGCGAATGATGGTCATAGCTCTTACTGATCTCTTCTATCCAGTATGTTGACTCTTCTTCAGGAGAAACACAAGTGAATACATTATAAGGTTATTTGTTGTATATTTGCGTTTGATATATTTTTGGTAAATGTTACAGAACACTATGCTTTCACTTCTTCAAGTTTTGTTCCCTTTTAAATCAGTAAAAGAAGAAAGATACCCTTTTGCCTTTGATGGAAGGATCAAATCTGGTTTTGAGAAATTTTGTGTCACAGAACCATGTTGCTATCAAGTATCAACCTCGTCTTTCTGAGATTTCTAGTATGTGTAGGCATCAGCATAATTGATGATAATTTCATATAGTTAATAAATCAGGATAAAAGATAATGGATTATCTCTATGAAAATCATTCTTTGATCAACCATAATTGATGTCTAACATGAACATCATGATAAACAGATTTCATGGCCGAAAATGTATAAAATAGTAACAACAATTGTCGAAATTTTTATTGGATCTTAACAATACTAGTACTCTTGATCCGTAGAAGAATTGGAGGGAGGAAATTTCCTCCGAGACCCCTCATGAAAAGTTTAAAGTCTGCTATGAATATTACATACTTAAGCTATACTGGTGTTTTATTAGTTTTTTTAAGATGTATTAATCAAAAACTACTAATTGAACAATGATTTGCAATTTTAATTTTACTTCCTAATTCCAAAAATAAAGCTTGGCATTCCGTAGGACTACATGTTAAGAACGCAATGCACATATTTTCTCCTGCATGTTTTCATTATTGTTAATTTGATTTCTTCACACATTCTTCATGAACAATCAAGGGTATTGATCATCTCTACTATCCTGCTAAATCCTTCATATATTGCCAGAATTCCTAAAAGATCAAAATAGACAACCTCTGCTTGTAAATAGAAGGTACATAGACGATTCTTGCTACAAACTTGCCAGTGAACATTAGAGCAAATGGTGAGTCAGATGCATGAGAGCTCAACAAAGAGAAGAAAACATGAAGTAAACTCGAGTTGACTGAAGAACAATATTCCATTGTCTATACTTTCGATTTTACAAACGATTTTGATGCTGAGGGACTTAGATTTGCATCCTTCCCACTTTCATGAGGGCCATATTTTTATTTTATTTTATTTAAAAAAAATCCATCTTTAAATTCTCAAACTTTTTAATTATTTTAATTAAGCCTTTTTATTTGATTCCATTTGAAAAGGATGGGAAGAACTGTAGCATAAAGTGAAACTCGGTCCCTAAATTATAAGCACAATCTTAGTTGTGTCCTTAAAGGAAAACTAATTTGAGAATAGAAAGGGATGAAGATTGATGTTATGATATTTTTAGTATATATTTCCATAACAAAAGTTTAAGGAGGATAATATGTTGATTAAGCAATTAACTTATAATGTTTTGATAAAATTACCAAATTATCTATCACTTAATTTAGAATTGATTTACATTAATAGCACTAGAATTTTATGTTTGTGTGTGTATTATTTATTGTAAATACATTTGTTCTTATTGATAGGTATTTACATATCTTTCAAAATGAATTTATTTTTATTTTTTAAAATTTAATTTCAATAAATAAACCAAATTATGCTTGGGCTTTAGTGGATTTTGTAATGTGTTCTCTTCACATATCTTTTTTTTATTATTATTAACCTGGGGTGTCCGGGCCAGCTTGCGCGCACCACGACTAATCTCCAGGGCCTAACTGAGCACCCTGCAAGCCCAGAAGGCAAGTAAGTCATCGCGGGGATGGCAGGAAGGTATACAAAGGGATTCCAACCCGTGCGGTATAGGGAGGGAACAAACGCCTCCCCCACTAGCAGAACCTCCAAGTACATGGGTGAGCTTATCTTCTTTTGCCGGGTGGGGAGGACAGAGTGTTGTTTTATACTAATATGTAAATTTAAAAATATATTTTAAAAATATAAAAATAAATAGGATTTACTACGATATTAGCTATCGAAACTAATTTGGGGTTGATTTGGTTAAAGAATCGGGTCTCAGGTTTCATGGGTTAACCTGAATCAACTAGAAAAAATTAAATATATATATATATATAAAAATTAATAATCATATGAAAAAATTAAAAAAAAAATCATATGAATATATGTTATATATATTATAAATAATGAAGTTTAAAAAAATATTTTAAAAATTTTTTTATCCCACATTAAAAAAATATAACTTTTTTCTTATAAATATAGAGTATATATACTAAAGGACTTCAAATCCCACATTGAAAAAATAATTTTTTTCTTGTGAATATGAAATATAAATACAAAAGGGTTTTTAATTTCACGTTGAAAAAATAATTTCTTTCTTAGGAACATATAGAATATATACCAAAAGGTTTCAAATCCTATATTAAATAAATAAAACAGTTTTTTAATATTTATATAATCAACTTTAAAAAGTGTTAATAACCAACTAAATAAATATGAAAAAAAAGAGGTATGGGAGAAAAACCACAATTGAAAAAAAAAAGGTCTCGCCCGGGTTTGCTCAAGTCATGAGATGACCCGCCGGATTTGACCGAGTTGTTGCACCGCCTTGTCTTTTAACAAACTTGGACCATTCCAACCACTGGGTCAACCCGTTAAGCTGATTCATAAATGACTCATGGTCAACCTGGACCATTCCTTTTAATTTAGAATAATTTAGAAAATTAACCGGGTCAAATATAAATGACTCGTGACTTGAATAACTTGGTGAAAACTTATATATATATATAATTAACAAATACTAAAAAATATAGTGTTTTTTATTTGAACACCTCTCATTTTTATTACCTTTTTCAATATGAAAAAAAAAATCATCTTATTCAAAACCTCAATTATAAAATCCTCTCTCTCTCACTTCATACCTCGAAACGCACTATTTCTATAGAAAAAGAGATGTTTTTACATCTTCTTAACCCAAAACTATGAAATTGCTGGGAATAAGAAAGGTTCATCTTTAAAGGTATTCCAGAGAACAGATCTAGTGGAGACAAGGTGAGGCCTGTAGTTCAGAGAATTAGAGCACGTGGCTACAAACCACGATGTCGAGGGTTCGAATCCCTCCTCACCCACAACCGACCAAAAAGGGAAGGACCTTTCCCTCTAAAGGTAGGAAAATCATGATTAGGATAGCGAATCTAAAGCTATGGAACTTGGGTGTGGGTTTTTTGTCGAAAACCTCACAAAATATTATTTATTGTAATGATATTGTTGCCTTTTTTTATTACAAAAATCTATTTTTTTTTTAATTTTATCTTTTGATATTTAATTTATTAAAGATTGAATTTTATAATTTGTTACGACTTACTTTTTATATGGTTATCTTAGTTTCACGATCCACGTGTAAGTTTGATAGGTTAATTAGGTTAATTCAAGTTTGTTTTTAAATTGGTGTTTTTTTTTTTCAGTTTCATACTTTTATATTAGGTTGATTAGGAAATAGTTGTTGTCATTTGTTTTGGTTTATTTTTCATAAGGTTATTCTGATCTCATTACCTGTGCTATGAGTTTTGCGAGTTAACCCAGATAGACCTAAGTTGTTTTATTGTGTCTTTTTTAAATTGATTTTTTTTCTTTCAATTTTATCATTCAATAACGAGTTTTTTGAGAATTAGACTTCATAATTTATTTGATTTATTTTTTATAGGGTTATCACAATCTCATGATCCAGATTCCGAGATTGGTAGCTTAATTTTGATTGACTCGAGTTGTTTTTTTTTTATTATTATTTACTTTCAATGAATTATCTTTTCCTCATGACTTAGATCCTGAATTTGGTGGGTTAATCAAGGTTGACTCGGGTTTTTTTGTGTGCTTTTTTTAAATGATTTTTTTAAAAAAAAATCTTCCTTTAACATTGGATGGATTTAGAATTAGAATTCATAATTTATTTTAATTTACTTTCTATTGAATTATCATGATTTGAGTCATGGATTTGGAGGTTAACTCGGTTGACTTGGATGGTTTTTTTTTTATCTTTTAATTATTATTTTTAATTTCATCATTTAATATTGTTTTGATTGAGAATTATATTTCATAATTTATTTTTGAGTTATATATTGAATTTATTTAATCAAACTATATTTTTACTAATAATTAAAATTACTTTTAAAATATTAAGTCAACCAAGTCACATCGGACAACTCCCACCTGGTTTGCAAAAAAAATTTCTATTAGAAAAATGTTAGTTACACCTATGTTTCTTTTTATGTTTTTTTTTTTTTAATTTGATCCCCGAGTGCGGACAACAATATAGTGATATCTATAGGTTAACTTGGCAATCTGGGCATTACCAATCCACTTTATAACCCGGCCTTGAGTCGGTCTTAAAGATTAGGACCAGCACATCACGTTAGAGTCAAAGTTGCAAACCCTACTGCTAACTTCCTAAACCCACGCTTTCTTGCTTGCTTGTCTGAGCCTTACCCTTCCTCACCTTACCTTTGCTCTCTGTTTATCTCTACAAGAGCTGGACTTTAATCTTACGAAAGGTAACTTCCATTCTTCATTGCAGATCAAACTTAACGTTTTTTAATGTTTACTGCAATAATGTTTGTAGATAGTAGTGACATTTTTCTTTTTGGGTTTGTTTTCCCAGCTCTGTATTGCTAATCTGATCTTTCTGGAGCAACTGAACAATCTTCTGTTAAGTCATGGCTCTGGTAAGTAATGAGCAATTTTACTTTCTGGGATTTAGTTTATTTTTTATTTAATTTAGTGTTTAGATCTGTTGTACTGATCAGGTTGTCTTGCATTGAAAATTGAGAAAAACAGTGAGGAATGGAAAGGAAAATCACACTTGAATTTATTGTGTAGTATAGTTGATGGTAAAGTCGATTACTTGTAGATGGCTGTTGTCATGATTAGTTACAATTATACGTTCAATTGAAGCTAGGATGTATACGGATAATGCATTTCGTATATCTACATGAACTAAGGGTGTGGAAATTGGTGAAAATGAGGGATTGCACTTATTTTTGCTGCACAGATGTAGGAACTAGATGGTTATCTTTAGTATTATCCTTCGAAAAAGTTCTTGAAATGAAAATGTTGAAATTCAGATGATCAACTTGCTGTTAATTTCTGGATTTACCATTTTTGTGTTTCTTTTTCAATCTAGATATGGACATGGACTTTTTGACGTTTTTATTTATTTATTTTATCCAGACTGTTGGATTTTAATTTCTTAGGTAATGTTTACAGTTGGTCTGGATGTTTTTGGTTGGCTTTGTCACGGTTTACATGCCTATTCAAGTATTCATGTGTGCATATAACTGGTGCCTTTCGTTTGTTGATTTATGGAGTTCTAAGTTGGAAATGCAAGGTGGGATTTTTGGCCTAATGTATTGAAGTTTGAGCCTTTGTATTTGGAAGGAGCTTAGACCCGTTTCCAACACATCCTTCATGCTGACAAGATTAGACTATTCTTTTTATCTTGGACTTTAGCAATGATGTTTTTGTTATGGTTAACTGGTTGGTGGCACTGTAATTTATTTGACCAAAGCACATGGAACAGTTTGAGGTTTTTGAAATTGTCATTCCTTAAAAATTCTTTAACAGATCTGTTTCTGAATCTCAAACATTCTTGTTTATTTACTTCCAAGGTATTACATGCGGGCAGCACAAACAAAAATGCTTTGAAGACACTCATTGCTGCTGAGTATAGTGGTGTCCAAGTTGAACTGGTCAAGAATTTTGAGATGGGTGTGTCAAATAAGACACCAGAGTTTCTTAAGATGAACCCCATTGGAAAGGTTTGTTGTGTACCATCAGAAATTATTTAAGGCGTGCTATGATTGTTGTGTTCATTTTTACATATAAGGTTGTTTTATCTGTAGGTTCCTGTGTTGGAAACTCCAGATGGTCCCATATTTGAGAGTAATGCTATTGCACGCTATGGTGAGCAAAATAAAAAATTATATTCTCTCTGTTTATTTACCGCAGCAGTATGATACGTTCTCAGTTGTCAGCTACTTCTTGGTGCAGTTACTCGCCTGAAGGCTGATAATCCCCTCTATGGATCTTCATTGATCGAATATGTAAGTGATGCTAGGTTTGGTGATGTTCATACTCGAGAAGTGTTTGGCATGCTTTCCCTTCTAATAGACCTTTATTTTTCCCAAAGCTGTTCTCTAAACTGGGCTTTGCAGGCCCGCATTGAGCAATGGATTGATTTTGCAACATTGGAGATTGATGCCAATATTTTGCGCTGGTTCATACCAAGAATTGGTTTTGCCGTATACCTTCCTCCGGTTAGTCAAATTCCTCTTCTCTATGGAACTAGAGTTGAATATTGTTATTCAGAATATATTTATATATACTAGCAGCAATTGGTTTATTATTCTTGTATTTTACTTTTAATCTACCTAAGGCCGAGGAAGCTGCAATTGCTGCACTGAAGAGAGCACTCACAGCTTTGAACACCCATCTTTCCACCAGCACTTATCTGGTTGGACATTCTTTGACATTGGCTGACATCGTTTTGACCTGTAACCTGACTTTGGGATTTAGCCGTCTTTTGACAAAAACCTTCACTTCAGAATTTCCCCATGTTGAGAGATACTTCTGGACTATGGTTAATCAGCCAAATTTCCGCAAGATATTGGGTGAAGTGAAACAAACAGAATCTGTTCCTCCTGTGCAAAAGCCTTCACAACAAAAGGAACCTGCAAAACCTAAGGAACCTGCAATTCCTAAGGCTAAGGAGGAGCCAAAGAAGGAAACCAAGAAAGAATCAGCAAAGCCTAAAGCAGAAGAGGCTGGTGAAGCAGAAGAGGCGCCCAAGCCCAAGCCTAAGAATCCCCTTGATCTTTTGCCTCCTAGTAAGATGATCCTTGATGAATGGAAGAGGCTTTATTCTAACACAAAGACCAACTTCCGTGAGGTTGCAATTAAAGGTAGCTCTGCAAAACTTTTGTTTCCCTGTTTTCTTCACGTGAATATGATTATTAAGTTTGTTCACATAATATAGATTTCATTAAAATCTAGCACTATTCTTGGCCCTTTGAATTTGCCTGTGTTTCTGGCCCGTTAGTAGTTAAACTATTTGATGCTTGCAGATACACAGTTTGGCTAATGATTCTCTCCTGTGATAAATGAGAAATTAAGACTGTTAATGTTTGGCTAATGATTGCATGCACTTTAGAGTTACCTTAGATCTTTCATGTTGACTACTTGCTCATGCTTCTGTTCTGTTTTCCTCCATAAATTACATACCTACATGGGGTTTTTTTCCCCAATTGAATCCCATCTAGCTTTCTTTTTAGTCATTTCCAGTTCATGGGTTGGTGTTCTCCTGTTTTTATATTTTTAAACTGGGTAGCTTCCTCGTGGTTAAGTTATAACAAAACCCCTAAAATCCCTTTGTTGGTTTTGTAATTTCCCGGGAAGAAAAGAAGTTCAAAAATTAAGTTTTTGTGATTGCTTTTTTATTGTAAAAGAAAAAAAAAATCATCCTTCTTTCAGAATAGGAAACTCAGGTTCTCTCAGTGGACTTTCTAGGTAATAAGATTTGTCATTGCCTTTGTTTGCAGGATTTTGGGAAATGTATGATCCTGAGGGCTATTCCCTTTGGTTTTGTGATTACAAGTACAATGAAGAGAATACAGTGTCATTTGTGACATTAAACAAGGTAGGTGGTTTCCTTCAGAGAATGGACTTGGCTCGTAAGTATGCTTTTGGGAAGATGCTGGTGATTGGCTCAGGACCACCGTTCAAGGTGAAGGGGTTGTGGCTCTTCCGTGGACAAGAGATTCCCCAGTTTGTGATCGACGAGTGTTATGACATGGAGCTTTACGAGTGGAAGAAGGTTGACATCACAGATGAGGAACAGAAGGAGCGAGTCAGTCAGATGATTGAAGATTATGAGCCTTTTGAGGGGGAGCCTCTACTGGATGCCAAATGCTTCAAGTGATCAAGTTTCTGCCTGCTCTATTAGTTACAAAGCTTAGGGTTCTCCTAAATTGCTATTTAAACTTTTCTAAATTCTGTCTTTGGTCTTCAATTTTTGTTTGCAGTGGACTTTTTGTGACACCAATAGCAGCTTTGTGATGATAGTTTGGATATATTAAGG